TATTTACATGAGTCACCTTGCATATTGTTGCTGACCATGTCTATCTCTTTTTGATCGCAGTGCACCCTTTTCAAATGGCTGCTTCCAGCAGGATAACATGCCACAACATAGCTCAGATCACCTCAACCCTGTTTCTTGAACACAACAGCGAGTACCTCTGCAATCAACAGATTTAAATCCAATAGAATACCTTTGAGATCCAATAAATTTGCAGCAACTGTGTGCTTTAATGACAATATGGTCCTTAATCTATGAGGAATGTTTCCAGCATGTTGTTGAAATTGTGCCACAAAGAATTAAAGCAGGCAAAGTGCTGAATCCAGGCAAAGCATTCATCACAGCACTAGCAAGCTGTACCTAACAAATTGGCCAGCAAGTGTCGCTTGCTCCACATTTTTACTGTATTTTTTCACCATATTTCTTTTAAAACTGACAGTTTTGGTTCATCATCCAGCTGAAGTATAAAAAGAATATGTTCCTGCAACCTGGCAAATACTTAATAATTCTACATTAATTAGAAATACCTGAAAATTTCCTTTAACATTTGATATGAGACCAAGCCAAGATGAAGTTCCCTTGTAAATATGTGGTTGCATGGAAGCTGAGGCACATTAACATATTGGTAAATGTGAGGAGCTGCAAAACTGAGATATATTAATACACTTTAAATATAGAAAGGTGAAAACTACAAAGAGTGAAGACTGATAGTAAATGGTAAATGGTCTGTATTTGTATAGCGCTTTACTAGTCCCTAAGGACCCCAAAGCGCTTTACACATTCAGTCATCCACCCATTCACGCACACATTCGCACACTGGTGGACTGATGGAAAAAACAGAACTGCAGCACTTTGCCACTGCAGATGTCCAGGTTATATATGGTGAAACAGCACTTGTTTCACTTCTCAGATCACATTGAAAATGTATACCTCTGTTAAGACAGAGTTGACAGCCATTTGGAAAGTCCCAAAACAGCTTAAGCGTGTTTTGATGTTGCTGCAACTAAAATTGAACATGATAATTTTTATACTTGGTTACAGCAGGATCATGTTCCCGCTCTTGATCCTAATAATAATAATAATAATGTGAGTTTTAGGCATGAATTATAGTGTTTTGGATGTTAGTTATTTAGAAGAATATCTGCTTTGGAAAGTTAACACCCAGCCAGTTCAACTGTCTGTACTTACAAAGCCAAGTTGTTGCTATAATTCAGTTAGTACACTGAAAAACAATTACATCAGACAGCATGCTGGGAAAATGTTAATCACAGACAGGCTGCTTCCAGTCACATGTCCAGATCCTGTACACCCAATGTGTTGTGATAAGACCAGTTGCTAAACTCACATGTAGGGGGTATAGCTCAGTGGTAGAGCATTTGACTGCAGATCAAGAGGTCCCCGGTTCAAATCCGGGTGCCCCCTTATTTAGATTTTGGTTATGACAAACTGATGTAGTTCTTGTAAGATAACATACAGGATTTTCGTCACATTAGAAATACAGCTGGTTGTAAAATTGAGTATTGTGCTCATTTACAGTTACATGTTTTTATTATTGTACTCTATCAGAGAAGCTCAGCATGTTGCCCAGTTCAGAATGCTGCATATTTATCTTATATGATCTTTCATGTAGCCGTGCAGCTCCTTTCCCATAAAGCCACTCTCCTTTTAGGCCATCATTTCTTCTGATTAGCGGCCCCTCACGTACAGCAAGTGGGTGTTGCTTCTGTGCTCATAGCTAGAGCTGTGTGCCTGAGATGACCATATTAAATATATTCCTTTGTTCTTTCTCATTCAGAGGAAGAAAAGTAGAAAAGACTGTGTGAAACAGAGCAGTCTGAAAGTCTTTTTAAAAAACAAAGTAGAACAAATCTTTTTACTGAGAGATTTGTCCAAAACAAAGGTTTTCCCAGAGATTTTGAAGCTTCTTTGTACCATATAAGGAGCAGCTGGGGTGCTTTTAACTGTAGAATAACAAATCAAAACATGACAACAAAGAAATTTCTTCAATCTGTTTTTTTTTTGATGACAGATAAATCATTTTTTTTAATCTCTTCTTTTGTCTGTGTCTGTTTGAATCTTCTCTTTTTGCAGCGAGTTGCCCTGTCCTTTGACTTTCCTTTTTATGGACATTACCTGAGGCAGATTACCATAGCAACCGGAGGTACGTTTTGATTTTCTAACAGATGTTCAAGTGACCTTCTGCAGTGCAGTAAGTTGTACACAAGTCTTACATATTTTTCCTTCTGGCCTTTTTCCAGGGTTTATCTTCACAGGGGACATTACTCACCGTATGCTGACTGCAACACAGTACATCGCCCCTTTAATGGCTAATTTCGACCCCAGCTACTCCAAAGAATCCACTGTGCAATATCTTGATAATGGTATAATACCATCTGACATTTGAACATGTCCTTGAGTATGAGATTGTCTGATCTTTCTGTTTGATTTCTATTTGGCTTTCATTATCTTCAGGTGAGGTCTTTGTGGTCCAGTGGGAGCATGTCAGAATCCCCGGCAAAGAGTCAGTAGGAGGTTTTACCTTTCAAGTTGCTCTTCACAAAACAGGAACCATCACTTTCAGCTACAGAGACGTGAGGAACATTTCTGCTCTGTGCTCTTACTGGCATTCTCAGATCAGGTCACTTGATCTTATTTTTGCAAGCATTAAGTGAAACTTCTTTGTGTTTACCAGATACCTCTGTCGGTAGACGTGATCAGTTCAGCTGAGCACCCAGTGAAAGCTGGGTTATCTGATGCCTTCATGGTCATGTCGCCGTCTTCTCAGTCAGCAGGTCAGCAATAATTGTGCACTACAATAAAGTGCTACCATAAAAAAAACACATATAAATCATAATATTTCCATTTCAGATCTCCCACGGCAAATGATCTATGAGTACCATCGAGTTGAGATAGACGTTACAAAGATTACCAACTACTCTGCTGTTGAGTTCACTCCTTTGCCTAGTAAGTGAATATCTAAATCTCCAGAGATTTCTTTCCACAGTCAAAGATTTAAAAATCAGCAGTGTTTTCCTTTTCTTTCCCTGTGCAGCCTGCCTTCTGCATGACAGCTGTGAGCTCTGCCTCTCAGCCAGCCAAACCTCTGGTTGTAGTTGGTGTCACGTACTGCAGAGGTGAGTGGGGAATTCTGCAAACCGACAGTGTTAGAAAAATAATCATTTTAATGTCTCCTGTTTTAGATGCTCAGACGGCATGGACAGACACAGACAAGAATGGCTGGATTATGCTTGTGCAGAAGAGGTATAGTTGGACTAAATATCAGTTTATTGTATTGTATTGTCCACGTTTCAACATGTGTTTATCATTAATTGCACTGTCAACTGTATTGGCAGAGCCAAGGCGCAACATGTGAGGATTACTCCAGGAATGACAACTCCACTGGGGCCTCCATCACGCCAGAGATCGAGGACATTACCTTTCTGACTCCACGACAAAAGGGCTGTGACAGTGACGGTGAGAATATGGAACTAAACTCTGTGTGTTTGCTCAGTAAAAACAACAAACAGAATCTACAATGGAATAAGTATTTAAACTTTTACTTTCAGATGAATCTAAACATCAAGTTTTCAAGACTGGTAGTGGTGAGTACCACTTGTAGAAACTGGTAAGATTAGGTTTGGGAATGGATTCTTAAGAATTTGTCTTAGTTCCAGATGTAAAAACTGATTCTTCAACCAAGAGCGTTGGGTTTGCTAACACTGGCTTGATCGCTGGCTTAGCATCTGCCCTGGTGCTGCTCTTGGCCCTGATACTGGTATCTCTTTACATCAGCTACCATCCTTCTGCTGTATCACCACTTTACCTCATTCAGGTGAGTTCAAAACATATCCTATACATGTTCAGTCTGAGTCAAGCTGATGTTCATATTCTAAACAATGATAATAATATGAGTATTATTATTACTTGATGCATTTCAGCGACGCAAGAGCTACTGGCCCTCCTTGAAGTTTCAAAAGCAAGAGTCTGGTTACACGGAAGTGGAAGGAGGCGGTCATGAAAAAGACAGCATTGTTGAAGCCGGGCCATGTTAAATCCATGTGAAGGGAATTATGGATCATGCATGTTGTGCAAATAACTACATTGGAAATTGAGTTCCAAATAAAGGATTAAAAGTCTTTTTTAAAAACATACCTTAAAGGGATGGTGCTGTTGTTGAACATTATTTAGAAATGCAAGGTTTTCATAGTCCCTCCACTGCATTACACTGTAAAATGCATGCCACCAAGCTGACATACATAAACTTTGCAGTTTTTTCATCAGATAAGCAAAGATATGAGAAAGTGAGCTTCACTTTCAGTTCCTGCTGCTCTTGATTGCGATTGTGATGCTTTTGAGTTCCACTTTTTTGTCTTGCTCAAATGTAACCCTATCATTTCCTGAACAGTACTCCCGCTTGAAATGCATGCTTTGTTGGGGGGGGGGGGGGGGG